CTTCAGCCTAGTAATACAATTTTTATCTAGAGATTGTTAATGAGAGTTGATTTTACTAGTGATCCACGGGGTTATACAGAGAGCATTTTAGTTTGCAAAAGTTCCATGGCTTTCAGGGGAAGTCCACTCTCTCTGAATTCATTTGAAACCTACTGTACTAGACTGAAATGAAAAGAAAATGTATGACTCCATTTCTGGTAGTGTAATTGTGACACACTGTAATGGTCAATATATGTGCATTATAATTGGACAGGTCAAGCTTTGGATCATGCCCTCCCACAGTATCTGTGGAACAGTGAGAAGGTTATTAAACTTGCCAAGCTCCAATTTTTCTTTAATAAAATGAGAATAATGTGAGAATTAATTTTTTTCTCATCTATTATGATGAGAATTAAATAAAGTACCATTATATTTTGATGTGTAATGAAATATCTGTTTGACCCCTAATCCATCAGAGGTTGATTATTTTTGTAATATACAATAAATAATTACTATGGAAACAGAAAATTTAAAAAAGACATACAAAATATACACACGTTTACAAATTAGATCCACAGTCATAAAATTCTACATCAATAATACAATAAGAATAAGCATAAAATAGAAAATAAGAATTATAAAAACCATGTACTTATAGGTAACTGTCATTGAAGCTTACTATTACATTCTGAACTATGCCATTCTAAAATTGTAACCGAATGATGTCAGTGAGATGACTGCCTAAAGACAACTGGTGCTCTAGGCCAGGAAATGATCAAGGCAATGAACAAACAGGTAGGATTTGACTAGAATGTTGAAGGGAGAGCACCAGTAGGCAGCAGGAGAGTGCAGATGCATTTGTGGTGTTTGGGAATCCAAGGGGGCAGCAGAGAGGTGCCTGGCTTCTGTAGCCTTATCTCTGCCATCTGAAGCCCATCTGCCCAGTGTCAGGACAGACTTCCTATTGTGGGGAGAATGTAAGCAGATCTTCACCAGGCCCCTTTGCAAACTATCATTTTACTCAAAAGCCAAATAATTTACATGCTATGCATGAGTGTTAAAAAAGAATTGTAGGCTATGTGCTTATTTACGTAAGCTCAGCTTTCTGTTTTAAATAGGAAGGGCAGCAAAGGCTGGGGTAGCACATGCCTTTCTGCTGAGAACAGGAGAATTCTGAATGCAATTCTAGGAATTAACAAACCTATGCTTAGGTATTTAATTTTTTCTCTCTCTACATATATAATAGTTATGTACTCAGACTGCGTTCACTCGGGTGGTAACCTCCGAGAAACATGGTCCAAATGCAAGACCCTGAAATCAGATTCTTTCATGTCTGTTTTTTGGAGTTTGAGAAAGAAAAGAAATAAAAGGAACGGAAAGGAACAGAAGGTGAAGGGGAGAGAAAGAGAAATGAGAGGAACAGGAAGGGAGAGGGAGAAAGGGAGGAAGGGAGGAAAGACATCCCGTACAGGCTCTGGAGGGGGGCTCCTTCTTCCCGCCTGTGGTAAGGAAGGTAATAAGACACCAAGAGCCGGCAGGTCTCTGCGCCTGCTCCCCTCAGCCGCTGCGAAGAACACAAAGAGTCAATGCCACAGCTAGAGGGCGCAGTGCTGCTCCGGCCGCGCTTCGCACCGCCAAGACCTCAAGTCTCCCGGCGCGGTGGGGGGCGTGGCGACCCCGGCTAGGGGGAGCAGGGAGGCGGGGAGGCCGCTCCTTTGGCGATCGGGCGAGGCTTGGAGCTGACGGGATTGGGAAGCGCTTGGATGGGCTTCAGGAATCCCAGTCCTAGGGAGGAGCAAGAGTCCATGGTCCCTCCGTTGGGACCGTCGCGCTGCCTTTTGTAGCGCTCCCGGGTTGGGGTGAAAGAGAAGCAGTCACCTGGAGAACAGAAAAGCAGAAAGAAGAAGGCAGCTTCTTCGGGAGCCCAAGAGAGTGACATCAAGCCAGGGCCTTCCTAGGGGTGAGTGTCAGTCATACCAGAGCATTAGGGAGACAGATCTGCCCTGACGTCACGGGCATGTTACTCCTCCCCCGGTTAAAGAGAGACAGTCACCTGGAGAACAGAAAAGCGCGAAAGAAGGCAGCTTCTCCGGGAGCACAAGAGAGTGACACCAAGCCAGGGGCTTCCTAGGGGTGAGTATCTGTCCATACCAGGCCATTAGGGAGACAGATCTGCCCAGACGTCACGGGCACGTTACTCCTACCCCCAACTTGAATTAACATCAGTTTTTCTCCTTTGCGGGCATGCATTAGATGATCTACTGGCTTCATATTAGTAGAGAACATCGGATAATTTCTGTGCATTATTTCTTATAATCTCATGTGAATCTACAGTTATATCAAAATATAATGTTTGGTTTAAAAATAAATACCAAGTTGATCTCTCATTTGGATTCATATTTTTATTTTGAATTAGGAATCAGAATATACTCAATACAGAGATGTTTTTTGTACCTCATTAAAGAGAAATCTGAGGCACGATAACAATTTTTAAAAGTTTAAGAGGCAATTCATGGATTGGGGAACACCAAGCTGAAAGAGGTTTAATGTTCTAACTGACAGGAGTAAGCACTCATGGGGAAAATGTGGAAGTGGAAGAAAGAAATTAGTGTCTTCTTTGTTCTGTTCTGTGGAAGATCCCTATTTCTTGGCTGCTCTGATTGGTTGAGCTTAAGTTCTGTTTTCCTTTAATAGAGGTAATTTCCAAGAAACAGCTCAGAGTTCCGTTTCAGTTATGTTTTCAAATCAAGCTCTTCTAGTCCAATCTAGGTCACTTCTGAAATCAAATTGATTTTGTCTGCTCAGGCATTCTTCAGGCTTGGTTTCTATTTTAATTTACTTTAACAAACTATACGTATAAAGAAAAGAATTCTAAACCTCTTTTCTGGCTTACAGGGAAAAATATTATTGTAGGTCAGAAGATAAATGTATTAAATTACAAGTGTGATAGTTACCAAGTTAAAGCGAATGATTATATTGCAGTCTTTTATAGGACAGAGCTACATTTTCATAAGTCTAGGTGTCTTAGAAGACCCTTTACTGTAAATAATGTTACTGTGATATTATATAACAGGAAAAAAAAGTGCATTACATTTTTATAAAAGCATTTATACTTAATCAGGAAAGTAATACTGATACTTTTGTGAATGTTATCAATTTATTATTTTATCAGAACTAGATTTTAGGATTCGAAATACTGAATTTTTTTCCATCTCTTGAGGAAGAGAAATTCTGTTAGCAGTTAGTGATAGAAGGACCAGCATTTGAAGCATAAGCTCCAAGAATGGACTTGAGAAGCTTCAGACTTACAATACAGAAAAAGGGGAGATCATAAGAGAAATTTTTACAGGGGAAGTATGCTCTTATGGTTTATATCTAGCTTCTTCCATCTTATTCAATCCTACAAGCATGACAACACTAAGTCTGAAAGTACAGTTCTGACTATTGATATCCCTATTGGGCAACTACCTTTCATGGGTCCCCAGTGGCTATATCATGGCCAATCACTTTATAACATCACCTTTATAACATCACTGCTGCCAATTTTTAAACTTCCCTTCTTGATGCGCTCTACACCAGTGATTCTCAGGCTTCCATTAAGTATCATGGAGGAAGGACTTCTTCAAAAATATAGATGCTCAAATTCCACCCCTGGAGATCCTGCTTCAATTAGTCTGTTGTACATTAGACTTGTTTTGTAAAAGTCTCCTGGTAGCTCACCTATATAGGCAAGGTAGAGAATCATTGTTCTGCCTCATTCTGTGTAGCTGAAATGATTTAATTTCACCTTCATCTGTTGAAATACTGCCATTTGTTTAAAGTTCAATAAAAGTGTCTTCACTCTTGTAAAGTTTTTTTCCAAAGAAAAAAGACTCCCTGCCCCCCCCCCACACACTTGGGCCACAGGTAGTGGAGTTGTAAGTTCATAGCATGTCAAGTTGGCCTCATACTATCATCATTGACCCTCCTAAAGGCTCCTCTGTTTTATTTATTCTCTCTATAATCCCATTTTCATATCCCCCATAGGTACCCTTCTGAAGCATTCAATGTGTACTATTATATTTTCAAGACAGGGTTTGTTTTTTGTTCAAATATATTACTTAGTAAATATTTTTACTTAGCAAAGTGAACAATTACTAAAATGTATCACAATTTATACTGGATTATCATAACATAGCACCATCCTTCCAACCACCACCATAATTATGAAATAAAATATTGCCAGCAGTGTTCAAACCTTCTTGGGCCCCTGGTAATCACTTTTGCCCTTTTGCTTTACAAAAGAATGCTACTTCTTAACTTCACAGACTACTTTGTCTGTTTTTCAACTTTATACAAATGAAACAGTTCAAGATATATTTTATAGTGTTTGAGTTCTTATACTCAAAATTATGTTTTGAGATGTTGTTGCCTATGGCAGGAATTTGTTTGTGCTCATTGCTGTATAATATCCTCCACCATATCAATACACCACAATGTGTTTCCATTCTACTATTAATGGGCATTTGAGTTTCCATGTTGGATACTACAAATATTGCTGTTATGACAGTTTTGTACATGTCCTTTAGTATGCATATATTTTTTGTGGGGGTGAAAATATTTTTATGAGTAGAATTACTAGATTATGATTTAGTTATGTTCAACTTTAATAGTAATGTCATAGAGTGTTGTAAAGTTGATATAAATATTTATTCTCCTACCGGCAGTGGGTAAGAGTTTCAGTGCTATCTTACACCCCTAAAAAATGCATACTTGTCTTTTTCATTTTAGCCATTGTAGGGAATATTTGGTGATTCTGTAGGCTGTGAGCCAGACAAGTTAGTTACTCAAAGTTCACTGATACACGGGTCATCTCACAGTGGGTTTTTTTGGGGAGGGAGGGATGGAGGGGTTTGGCTGGGGCATATGAGGCCTGTGCCTTATTACTCCTTTGAGCCACAGGCGTCGCCCCATCTCACAGTGTTCATGTTCTCAATTTCTTTACTGATCTATTTCAGACTATTCCTCTAAGCGAGAAGATCATGGCTTCAGAGACTTGTGTGAAAATGCTTCAGACAGATCTTACATTCAGAGAGTGCATGGAGAAAGAAGAGTCTGGTAATGCAATTGATAAAATTTGAAAAAATACATTAGCATCTCGTAGTCTCTATAGAAAGAATGTATTAGGGTGAGAAAAATTGTACAATTTTTCATCAGTTATTGTATTACTATGTATGTTACTTAAATATTTCTGGGACAAGAGAGAGGAACAGTGAATTAGATGAAGAAAAGGATTAAGAAAGAAAATGTTCTTTGTATTTCTATTTTATCCTCTATGTTCCCAGGTCTCTGGCCACTGGCACTCTGGCAAGTCATAGTAGGATGTTAAATAGCATGTCCTTTATATGCCAGAGTGGTGAGGAACACAACTCTAACAACCTGTTGGGTTTGGTTTTACAGATCATTTGTAATTTTAAAAAAGACATGGGGATTGAGGGTGAGAAGCTTAAACTAATCACCAGCAAGTTCTTTAGCATTTCAGTTTATGACGAATTTTGTAAGAAAGAAGCAAAATAAAGGGTGTGTGGTTATAATTCAGTAAGAAAGGAAACTTCAGCAGAAAGGATCCTTTTACTGAACTTCTTTTGTTCTTTTGTTCTTTTGTTCAGTCTTCTGAAAAACTTTTATTTCATTCTTTTTCTTTCCTTTCCTTTACCCTTCCTCCTAAATTTTATTTATTTTTGTCTGTCAGTGAAGAACCTTGCATTTCCTGGAAAACAAGGTTCATATTTAACACAAAAAGAAAGTTTGTAAAGAATGTTAATGGTTTTCGGTAATGTCGGTGGTTACAAAATTAAATGTTTGACAGTAAGAATGTTATACAATACAATTATGAAACTTTTTTTTTAATGTATCCTGTTTTTTAAGTTTTTTGGATCCTGAAACTGAGTTAAAACATTATCAGCAATATAGTTTATTTCTTTGTTCTGACAGATAATTCCTAACTTTTCCAACTAGAAATCTGAAGGACACGTGTTTAGTGTGTACTCTTCTTTTTTTTTTTTTTTTTTTTTGAGACTGAGTCTTACTATTTTGCCCTCGGTAGCTTTGACATCAGAGCTCACAGTAACCTCAGACTCCTGGGCTTAAGTGAGTCTCTTGCGTCAGCTTCCCAAGTAACTAGGACTATAGGTGCCAGACACAATGCCTGTCCTTTTTTTTTTTTTTTTGAAGAGACAAGGTCTCTATCTGGGTCAGGCTGGTCTTGAATCCTGAGCTCAGGCAATTCACCCACTTCAGCCTCCCAAAGTGCTGAGATTACAGGCATGAGCCACCACGCCGGCCCGACAGTGTGTACTCTTAAGTGGCATATGAATTGGGAGGGAGACAGGAATAGGTTTATACTTGATTTTAGCCAAAAGGCCAAGAAGGGATTGGAAAATAAGAATAGGAAACACAGTTAAGAAAAGTAGAAGAGAAATAAGCAAGAGAGAGAAATGAAGCCAGGACATCAGTAGGGGAAAGTACAGACAGGCAAAACCCAGGAGAAAGCAGGAACTTTTAGAAGATTAGTAAGAGAGGCAAATGGGAGATTTAGGGGAAAATTTAAGTGGAGATTTACATATTACTCTAGTAACAGTGGAATGATTGTAGAAATCATAATGTACCTCAAAGACACTTTTGCTTTAATGTTGAGCCAGAAAGAATGAAGGTTGAATTTTTTTTATTAGCTCATAACTGTGTACATGACTGCATTTATGGGGTACAATGTGCTGATTTTATATACCGTTTGGAATGTTTACATCAAACTGGTTAACATAGTGTTCACCTCACTTATTTAATTGTTGTGTTTAGACATTTATACTCTACTATAATATATTTGACATGTACCCTTGCAATATGCACAGTAAGTGAGGTCCCACCGATTATTCTCCCTCCACCCATCCATCCTCCTCCCCTTCCCTCTCCTCTTCTCTCCCTCTTTCTGGGCTATAATTGTGTTATATCTTTCTGGGCTATAATTGTGTTATATCTTTCCTATGGAAGTGTGGGTGATTGTGAAGGTTGAAATTTTTGTAAGGGGTCAAAACCCTAATGATGTATACTGCTTAAAACCATGCAATACTATTTAGAATTTCCTTTGTCTGAATGTGAGCTGAAGCTCCCTGTTGTTCTTAGAGATCTATGTTTAGTGAGTGAAATGTGGTGGTTAAAAGAAAATCATCAGGAACATTTTTAAAAGTATAAGTTACATTCAGTAAATTCTCTTTTGTGTACATTTCTATAGGTTTTCACAAAAACATATAATTATGTGACCACCATCAAAATCAAGCTATAGAACCTTATTTTCCCTCCCCCAAAATTTCCTTCATGCCCTTTTTCTGTGCTTGGCAACCAGTGATCTGTTTTCTGTTCTTACACTTTTGCTTTTCCAGAAAGCTGCCTAAGTGGACTCCTGCAGTAAACTGTAGAGTCTGACTTCATTCACTTAGGAATAATGCATGAGAATCATCTGCAGTGTAGTAGGTACCACTAGTTTATCAAAGTCCGGAGTTGGACAAGTGAAGATTTTCTTCAGGCCTACTGCAATAAGAATAACACTCTGACTTCAAAAATAATCAGACATCTCATCTCAAAATCAAACAGAAATAGGTTTTTGTTTTAGCAGGAAGTCAAGAAAAGTGGGAGGTGTCTGTGGCTCAAGGAGTAGCTCTGGCCCCATATACCGGAGGTGGTGGGTTTACAACCAGCCCAGGCCAAAAACTGCAAAAAAAAAAAAAAAAAAAAGAAGAAGTGAAGTTAAAAAGGGTTAGGAAACAACTTGTGGGTAAGAGAGGGTGGTGCAGAAAAGAGCAGGTGCTAACATGTAAGGCGTTTCAACGGAAACCTTTGCTCTATATAGTGAGATTCTGCAAATAAACTGCAAATGTGAGCTGTTTTTCCCGTTAGTTATTTGGCACTTGTTGAAATTATAAGTGATGCGTATATCCTTCCAGTAGTTCATTATGCAAATGCAAACTTATATTCTAATTTTCAACTCCTTTATTTTACAAAATATGCCATATTATACTCACCATTCTGCACTTTCCTTTTTTTTTTTTTTTTACTTAACAATATATCCCACAGTCACTATAAAGTTGTGGGTTCTCAATGCTATGGATGTTACCTAAAAAACACAAACAATGTAACCTAACTGTATGTATCCTTATATTAATCTGAAATTTTTTTTAAAAAGAGAGGAAAAAACTCAACAATCTGGGTACATGTGGATGTTCCCTGGTCCATCCATGGGGGCTAGACTTGCCATTGCTCCATTTGAAAACTGGCACCACATTTTTCTCATGACAAGATTGGCTGTGTGGACCAATGCTGAGGTCCCCAAGGCATGTACACAGTCATTCCCAGCTGAGGTCTTGGTACCCACCCATAATTTCCATATTGTGGGGACTTTGGTCCTTACACCTCCTATGTTATATTTTTTGATGTTACTATAATTGGTACTATTTTTATATTTTAATTTCCATTTGATAATTGCTAGTTCATGGAAATACAATCAATTTTTATGTATTACCATTGTATTATACACCTTTGCTGATAACCTCCTTTATTCTAGTAGCCTCTTGGTAGATTCTTTAGAATTTTCTATGCAGACAACCATATTGTCTATAAATAGAAACACTTTTATTTCTTTCAGTCTGTATGGTATTTAATTTTTTTTCCTTGCCTTATGGCCCCTGTTAGTACCTCTAGTAAAATGTTAAATTGGACAGGTGAGAGCAGACATCCTTGCTTTTTCCTGGTCACTAGGGGAAAGTGTTCATTCTTTCACCATTAAGTATGATGGTAGCTGTTGTTCTCTCTAGATGCCCATTCAGGTTGAGGAAAGTCCTTCTAATTTGTCCAGAGTTGTTACTATGGATGAGTAAATCATAAATTTTCACATGCTTTTGCTACATTTGTTGAGATGTTTGCAGTTTTTCCTTCTCTTAATCTATTCTGTTAACATGGTGAATAACACAGATTTATTTTCTGATGTTTCCCTCAGTACTTTTCACCAGGTTTGTGGTTATATATTATGGAGGTAACTCTGAATTATTTATGTTCCTTTTCTCCTAAAAAAATTTTTAAATTCTTTTCCTATTCTAACTGGAAGAGTCCCTGGGCAGAAATTCAGTTTTTATTATGGCTAGTTTGTTTGGGTCATGACTATCATTTGTGGACCAGGACCTTTTGTGATATAGGTCGGCAACAGGAGATCTAAAGTGTAGCAGAGTTTAGAGTTGATGCCATGATCAATTTAACTTTTTGTCCCTAAGATCTTCATGAGATTGAGAGTCTAATATTTGTATTTTATAGGTAAAGATCTTCAAAGAAAATGTCTGACAGTTCTACCTCCTTTAACACTTGCCAAGTTTTCTTATTGCCTTTTCATCATTGCAGTCCTAACTGCAGGTGTGGTTGCACTTCCTATTGTTCTGTCAGGTAAGTTACTTTTCCTCCAACTTGTATGATATTCTTAACACATGTATATGGTCTGTATTTTTGGAGCACCATTAGATGCTAGGCACTATGTGAAATGCTAGAGGTATATCACTGGACAAGATACATAAAAAATGTATTTATAACAAAATTATATATATATTCATACATATGTACATTGTAGTGTATGTCACACACAAAGCTGACAAGAAGTTCTAGATTGTACTTTGGTATCAAAAATCATATTTTGAATTCTATTCTGTTTACTGATAGGTTTTGTACCACCTAAGAAATACAGCATAGTGAAATCCAAGACAGACAATGAGTTTGCCTTTCTTTTATCAGGAGAAGGAAAGGCTGCTATGAAAGATGTGGAAAAAGGGAATATGTGATCTTAGGAAAGAGGATAGTTGTTGCTATAAAAATCGATTTCCTTGAAACTGTTAGTGTCCATGTATATCTTAAAAAGTCAAGGGTCCAGGTGCCCTGCTGGAAGACCACTAGACTGATGACCATTGTGCTTAGAATAAGACTCTTGAGTGATCAGTTAGGAAAGCATCAATCCAACATAACTACCTCAAGATTGCCCTCAGGATAGTAAACAAAAATAAAAAAAAAAAAGGAGAGAGATACAAGAGATAAGAAAATGTATTTATTGTAATTCATTGTAATTGTCTTTTAGTGAGACAGAAAAAGGTGGTCTCAGCGCCCTCTCTGTATGCTGCCTGCCCAGAAAGCTGGATTGGATTTGGAAGTAAATGTTTTTATTTTTCTAAAAACGCAAGGAATTGGACCTTCAGTCAAACCTTCTGTGCCTCCTTAGAAGCCAACCTTGCTCAATTTGAAACTCTGGAGGAATTGGTAAGAAATATTTTGGGGTCCTATTTTCTGTTACTTACTTGGCCCCCTGAGATGGGTAAGCTGCATAGGACTAAAGCTGAAATATGAGGACGGATCTGATTTTAGAGAAAATTTGAGCCAGGAGACTGTCTAACATTTGTTGAGGGTATAGTCTCTCAACAATAGTATAGTCTCCTTGTGAGACTTTTTAGGTAAATCTTTTTACATTGACCTCAAAATTATTATTCTCATTTTGCTAAGAAATGTGCTAATCGAATAATTGGTCATTCAAATTGGGACATTTGGAGCATTGAAAGTAGGCATTAATTATGGTGGAATAACAGATATAAACTAAAACTTTCCCTTGTCACACTGGGATATATTGTCCTCTTAATGTAATTTCGGGGCAGAGACATTTGTCATAAACTGAGAATTGAGAACGAGTCTAACTCTAAAGTCTGTGCTTCCCAGTTAGACCATGAGACTCCAAGAGACTCAAGAGTAATATGAAAGAGAGAGACACATGTTGTCATTTTCTGTGTTTTATAATAGAATTTCCTGGAAAGATACAAAGGCCCCTCTGACCATTGGATTGGCCTGAGCCGAGAATCAGCACAGGACATTTGGAAGTGGACAGACAACGCTGAATACACCCTCTCGTACGTTTGAAAGTTCTTTTCCTTCTACCGTGTTTGTGTGCTGTTGTGTGGGTGAGTTGTGTTCATGAGATGAGAAATGTAATACCATGCACAGCTCACTACACTATGGGGTAAGAAAAGTAAATCCTCTTTCGGGATGTCATTTAGTAGCTGTGCCTTTGGGTAAACTTACTGTGACTTCAGTTGAAATCTCCAACATGATGGTGACATTTGGGATAGTCCTTGCATTTATATCCACTGATTTCAAGCTTTTTTTTGCTGAAATGCCTGTTTAGAACATAGACAGGACTGCTGGGGCACCCCAAAGGTGCTACAATCCTAGGGAGCCACTGAGGAACTGGTGTCCACAAGGTTCTTAAGTCCACTCTTACAGCAGCTGCATCCACTCAAAAAAGGAAAGTACCCAGGGAACCTAAAGGAATCGCTCCCAAAGTTCTATTGCCAGAAGGACCCTGGTAACAGTTCCTTGGATTGTGAACATTTTAATGGGGTATTTTGAATGTAACTGTTACATTGGAGCAGATAAAAAGTAGGAACTCAATCATTTTCCTTAATCAAAGATAATAAGCCCTTTTAGGAACTTACTAAATAAGAAAGTATTTTTTATTTTCACATATTTATGAAATAGTTCAAGAGAAGGCTGAAACTGAAGGCCACTGATGGCAACATTTCATTTGGGTACAGTAGCAACCACCAGCTAAATACTTAATCAACAACATAACTGGGTTTGGCATGAATGAATAATGAACTTAACGATTTTCAAGTAAGGACCCTGAAAACATAAAGGAAACTAACTACAGAAATGGTGCATCTTACTAAGAAGCAATATTAATGACAAACTTTTGCTCTTCTCTTCTTAGAAAAAAAATATGGAATGGGGGTGGTAGAGAGTATAGGAGAGGAACAAATATAAATGTCGAACTTAGTAATATTTAATATGTTTTCATTTGGTTTTAGGTTTGACATCAGAGGATTTGGAGAATGTGCCTATCTAAATGACAATGGAATCAGTAGTGCCAGGATCTACACAGATAAGAAATGGATTTGTAGCAAGCCAAACAGTTATGTCAGCAGCTGCCAAATTACAGACCTTTAAGGGATGCATTGTAAATTGTTATCTATAGCTGTTGCTTCTATTTTCTTGTCTATCAAAAATATTATCAATATGCATTCATAATTTCTCTGAATTGGATACAAACAAAGATTGAAATAATACATAGTAGTATGATACAAGTATTTGGAAGACTACGTTTCTAAATTAAATGTTTAGGTATGAGGTGATGCTTACATTTGGAATGTAGAGTACAGTAAATATCAGTGAATTCCTCTCCTATGACCAGCTATAAAATTTAGACAGTCTATATAGACTATATAGACAGTCTTTGCTTTGCATGCACGGACCAGAGAAGTGAATATGCAAACTAAAACCATGCAAAGGGACTTTTATAATCATTGAGAAAAATTATAATTGGTCTGTGACTTTAAAAATTTGTTAACACATTCAAAATTCTCTTGCAGAATTTAGTTAAAAATATAAAGAGACATTTATAAAGTCCTAAGACTAATATTTATTTTTTACTCTGCAATTTAAAACGTTAGGAAATCAACAAAGTACTTTTTACAATTTCTCAATGTTTATGTTTTAAAATTAGTGTACTAAATAAATGCATCTATAAGCAAATACCATTCTTCATTTTACCTTTTATTGGACTTAAATACTGCTTTTATCTCAGATAAAATCACAGATATTTACTTGAACTCTTTAAGCATTCAATAGCCAATTTTATAACTACCTATAAATTACTAAATAAATTATTTAGCTTAAAGAAAAATAAATTTTTATAGAAACAGCTACGCTATACTGAAGACTCTCAAAGAAGATGAAATAACAATTTACAATGCATCCCTTATGTCTTCATCAATTTGTTCTTATAATTTTATAAAATTTTACTTCATATATTTCAAGGCTATGTTACAAATGCATGCAAGTATATTTCATTTATGAAGCATATCTATTTTTTAATGAATAATCATTTTGTTTAGCCTTAATCATGCTTTCTACCCTGAATCATTTTATTTCACGTTTCCTAATAGGCAGGAACTGTCTAGTTCACTTCTGTATCCTTAGAGGCCGGCATAATGTCAAATATACAATGTATTCAAAACATATGTCAGGAAAGAAGAAATGCTTCATGGTAATAAGCCTCTTTGCTTAGTTTCAGCTAATTTTCTCATAAAGATAGGCAAATTGATACATAAATATATATGCAATGAAAAGCAAGATTTTTATATTGATAAACCGTGTGTGATAAACTCAGAAATGAAGAGCCAAATTGTGACCCTAACTGGCCTAGTATTCTTTTACAAACCAATTTCAAAATCATATACCTATAGCTTATATTTTATTTTTTATCAGTTGTAACCTTGATAAAGTATAGTATCCCTCAGCATCCCTGGAGGATTGATTCCAGGACCCCTGCAGATAGCAAAGTTTGTGGATATCAAAGTCCCTAATGCAAAATGGCATAGAATTTGCATATAACATCCCTCCAAATTTGACATGCAAAAAAAATGAACAAAAGAAATTATGTGCTGTAAGGGTGGCAACTGTGGCTCCAAGGAGTAGGGCGCCGGCCCCATATGCCAGAGATGGCAGGTTCAAACCCCGCCTCACCTCGATTTTGGCCCTGGCCAAAAACTGCAAAAAAAAAAAAAGAAAGAAATCATGTGCTACATAAATTTTTGTCAGAAGATGCAACTTCTCAAGACAGAGTTTATTTAGAGATTCCATCATGCTCATGTTCATTGACAATAATATTGCTGTTTTAACAATTTTAGAAACGATTAGGGCACAATAATTCGTTGGGATTTAAGCCATAAAAGCCACTGGTGTTCCAAAGACCTAAATGCCAATGTAGAGGATGCAGACAGATGGAGAACGTCAACTTCGGACGTGGCAAATGAGTAGGGAGCTGCCACTACAGAGAGGCTGTTTGGTTTGCTCATCCTTAATCTTAGATTAATCATCACTTTCCATGGATTTATATTCCAGGGAGGTATGTGCTTGTATATATAGGACAGCCATAAAGTTTGTGTGCAATTTAACACATATCAATATATGTATTATATATTTTATAAATATAATTTGTAGATATATTGTATATTTGTATGTATATCATTTATTTATATTTCCCCATTCCTGATTTCCATTATAAAATAAAGAATCTAGAAATTTATTTTGATGTTTGTTCAATGCGAGTGAATGTACGATGTGTATATAGTGGTTGTTTTCAATGAGTTAAATAGATTTAGTACTAGTATTAAAATCTTAGTAGTGAGAATCCCATGTAAAATGCTTCATTTTGTAAATGGGATGTCTTCAGACTCTGCTCAGAACTAGAATTGGACTTCTCACATCTCTCGGAATATAAGGTAATCACCAAGAGAGAGCAGAGATGACCAAAGAACAATGGAGAGCAAGAAACAGAATGACACAAAGTAATAAAATGAAGAAGAAAAGAAGCCAGGACTAAAAAGCAATTATATAATTACTAGAACACAAATTCAGGGGGAAAATATGGGTGGGATCACAACTACTAATTAAGACAACCATGTAGACTCATCTTTTTCCAGTCCTCTCCTGAAAATTCACAAAAAACAACTGATGGGGAATTTTTAAAGATAGTACCAGAAAAGCAAACCTGTCTGGGACCTTGGAACTGAACACCAAGCAGTCACAGGGCATCTTATGCCTTCTCCCAACTGCCCAAAGGAAGAAGGCCCGTATGACTAAGGACTTCTTAACCCCCTAGTCTAACGATAGAAGGTTCACCCTTTCCATACCCCAGTTGACACCTGCTGACAACATGGCAAGCTCAGCAGCACCAGCAAAAGACCTCCACTGGGAGCCTCCCCTGGTAATAAGTAGTCTGGAGAAGCACTTGTCCCTGCCAGGCCAGAGGCTCCCTTCTCCCACCTAGACATAACAACACATGGCCAGGGTGGCCAGCAGAGGCATGCCTCCCGTAACAAGCACACTGTCTGGGTACCTTCCTTTATTTCTGTGGGATGGGGACTCCTTTTGTCCTCCTAAATGAACCATGCAGAAGAGCTTGAGGAAGCTTCTCCTTTCCTCTCAAGCAGCACCAGCAGGGACCAAAGAATATGTCACTCATGAACTGAGAGGACTAAAGTAACATTGTAAAGGCTTTGTGTCACTAGAACCACAGCCCACAAAAGTAGGTCGGAACATACATGTTAAACCTAAAATAGTATGACAGACTGCTAAAATTAAAAGCAAACAGGATCCAGAATCTTCAAACTTAATAGCCAAAGTGTCTAGGGTATAATAGAAAATCACCCATCATGCCATGAACCAGGAAACAACCTGGGTAAAAAAAAAAAAAAAAAAAAACAAAGGAAAAAGGAAGCAAAGAGTCTCCACAAAAGTCCAGAAAAGGGGCAGCCTAGCAAGACAGAAAATATTTAGACAACAATCTCTCCATTGCAGCCAAACACCATGGAAAACACTGTGGTCCCCATCCACACCCATGCCATCAAAGGCCAAGTGGAGAGCCTCAACTTCCACCCTTGTATGGCTATGAAAAGGCAGCCCAATACAGCCCCAAAAAGGTGGTGTCAGAGCAGACTAAGCAGGGAGCATGGGCTTCATGCCCTGAGATACCAGGGGCCATACAGAGCCTGGACTCTCCACACATTCTTTGTGGTGCCCCTGGGAAGGTGTGAAAGCAGGACTAGTGGAGAGTCAGTGAAAACCACATGGAGAACTGGAAATCCCACCCCTGCTTACTGTCAGCACACAGGTGTCAGTGGAGGCTGAGCAGGGAACCTGAACTCCTACTCCCACCTGGCGGTAACAAGGCAGTGCCCCAACTTCCCACTCCAGAGCAGCATCAAAAATCACAGCTTAAAAAAGTTTAAAATAATATCTCAGTTGTACCATAATATGAAAGTCTAATTTTCAATAAAATCATGTATCACAACAGGAAGAACCAGAAATAGTTCAAACTAAATGAAGAAGTTGATCAGTACATGTCAACACCAAGATAACAGAAATTTTAGAATTACATGAGAAAGTCTTTAAAGCAGCCATGGTGAAAATTCTCCAGTGAGCATTATGAAGATGCTCATAATAAGGGGAGAAATAGGCAGTTTCAGCAAAGAAACAGAAAATGAAAACAGCTAAATGCAAGTTTTAGATCTGAAAAATACAATGACTAAAACCAGCCTCAGTGGATGGGATCAACAGCAGAATAAAGATGGAACGATGGAAATTAATCTAAACAGCCGGGAGAAAATAGAATGAGGAAAATTGAACAGAACTTTAGCACATGAGACTATTACAAAAGACTAACATTTGTGTCATTGAAATTTCAGAAAGGGTAGCATAAAGAACATAGCTTAAAAAGTACTTAAAAAATAATTTAAAAAAATAATCACCAAAAGCTCTCCAAATTAGGTAAGAGATATAAACATACAGATTTAAGAAGCTGAGCATATCCAAATAGGATAAGTCCTTTCACTCTAAGGTTCACCATAACTAAACTTCTGAAAACTACAGCAAAAAAGAAAAAAAGTCCTGAAAGGCAGAAGAAAAATGATACCTTTCCCCATAAGGAAAAAATTGGAATGACTACAGATTTCTAAAAGAAATAAGGAATGTCAGAAGGAAATGGCACATTATTTTTCAGGTGCTGAAAGAAAAGAACTGACAAACCAGAATACTATACCTAGTGAAAATATTGTTCAAAAATAAGGGGGAAATTGGGGTATTCTCAGATGAATAAAGTAGGTGAATTTGTTGCCTTCAGACTTACCCTAAAAGAATGGACAAAGAAAAGTCTCTAAACAAAAGGAAATAATAAAAGGAATCTAGGAACATCAGGAAGGAAGAAAGAACATGGTAAAAATGGATAATTGACTTTTCTCTTGAGTTTTCAAATTTTTATTTGATTTTCTTTTTTTTTTT